AACTGAAACTAGAACGCCGAATTAAAAGGTCAACTAATCCACTAATCAAATCATTTGCGCCCATCCCAGGATAAATACGTGTATATATTATTATTATCGTGATTTATAACACGACGGGATTTCGTTCGGTCGACGATTGACGAGTTTTTCACCCGCGGTCCCGGTGAATTGATTTCATCTTCTCGTCCTGTCGTTCGCGCGTCCTCTGTTCTCCGCCTCGTCCACGACCGTCGCCGTCGGCCAACCGATATTCCGGCTGTTCGCAAGTCGACCGCGGTCCGACTTGTGCATTATTTATTACGTTACGTGTACCGCACGACCGTCCGCGTAGGATTTTAAATAATACACCGAAATAACGTGCCGAAGGTAGGTCATCGTACGCCGACCCGTCCGCGATGATTTGTCGCTGGTCGCTCGTGTCGTTTTTTCGACGGAAACCGTCGAACTCTCTAGAATCAATACCGTTTGCCGTTTTTGTCGATACCCAGGTATTATCGCGTTTCGCCTACGCGCGCGCTCGACGGCCTGTACGGTTTACGATAATTAATTATTCAGCTGAGTTTTGATTTTTTTTTCTCAAACGGTTTAATGTAATGTAATATATTATTGTGAAACAGGGGCAACCGGTGAAGCGCGCGCGCGTTACACACCGTTTCCGATTGATATCGATTAACATTATTATTCGGTAGTATCTGATTCGTGGGCCGCATGCGCTACCCAGCGCCGTAATGATGGTAACGATAGAATAATAATCATCTGTGTGTCGTGATGTATACGTGATCTTCGATCGAACAGTATGTAATAATTATTTTTTACGGGATAAAAACCGAACGAACGTTCGGATTCGCTGAAACATTCTCTACGACGAATAATTATTTTATTCGTCGGATATCGCCTCTGATTAGTGTTGGGTACGAATCATTTCCCCCGATAAATATAGTGTCTAATAGAGAGATCTGCACGGGCCGGACTAGCCCGACTCAGCCCGTACCGGGCTTGGACCGGGCCGTGCCATAATATAAATACTGAGGGGTTGGTTATGGGTGGGATCGCAGTATTTTTTTCTTTGAAATGGGCCGGTCAAAAATAAAACTACCTAAGTATAATATAAAAGTACAATACTAGTGCCGATTATTGGCGTTGGACAAGGAAATGTTTCCAAACTGATGGAGAAGGCTTGTCACAAATCGAAATAAAAATATGTATATATTATTAGTGCATGCGATATTAATAATAATAGATTCCTGATAAAAACAAATAATAAATATTATGGTCCAGACCCGGTCCGGTTGAACTTTAAAAAAAAATTCAGTACCGGACTTGAAGGGAGAAGGGCTGGAATTTTGTAAGTTTCGGGCCGGATTGGACCGAAAAAAACGGCTTGTGCAGATCTCTAGTATCTATACAAATCGTATCTCCGCTTAGATATTGTTTCCAAACTGGTGCATTCTTATATCCCGTACACACGTGCGTGTAAACTGCCAAGTGAAAATCGCGAGACGTACTGCCCACCTCGTCCCGGCGTTTCCATCGGTCAGCGTTCAGTATTGGGATCACCACCGGCGAATTGACAATTTAATAAGCCTAGGAAATATCACGCGCGTACATCGTCGTTGTCCGATGTGTAATAATAAAAATAATAATGATTCGATCGTGGTATTCATTCAACGGGGCATATGAATCATTCGCGTGTAAACCCTATATGTACATAACATATAATAACATAGTATAACAGCGGTTCTCAAACGTTTTTGTTCGAAGAACCTTTAGGATATTAAAAATAAATCCACGTAGCCCCGACGACTAGGAACGCAAATAGTTCAAATCACCCATTCGTAAGGAGTCAAAAATATCAAACAATTTCGATTTTTAATTTGTTTCGTTATAATTCGCTTTGAATTAATTGTGATAGTTTATTTAAAGTAAATAAAACTAAAAAAAAAAAAAAAAAACATTTTATAATAAGTATTGTTCGGTAATTTGTTGCATATAGTAAATTAACGTTATCTAGCTGAAATTCGGTGTCGGTACCGATTCAAAAATTAATATATAAGAAAACAAAATAATTTGCTTTAACCGTTAAGACACTATAAATGATAAGAACTATATGTTTACTCTAGAAAGTTTGTAACAAGAAATCTTCATCTCCGTCTCGGTAATACAATTTGGGACGTATGTTATAAAATTCCAATTGATCCTTTATCTTTCCGATTCGCGGGATTCGACTGTTATTGTATAGCATCGGAAAAAAAAAACGTATCGAGCGAAAACAAAGAAATAATGAAAATCCGACCGTCTCCGTGTCGAGCTCGTCCCGCGCTTGTTGTAGGTATATTATTATTTACCGATAAACGCACACGCATAGAACACACTTATACGAACGCACGCGCGCATCTCTATAGATATACATTTGTATAAAAAAAATTTACATTATCTACGTGTATTATTATAATGGAACGTTATAATATTATATTCGAGTTTGCGGCAAACGGCCGACGATAAATTAGCGAAAACAACGTTTTAATCGCGTACGCATTACGTTACGTATAATTTCCTCGGACCGGCGGCACGACGACGTATTGATGTGTTTGAAATCGTCGGTACTGCACGCACAGGCCGCCATACGATGAACGCACATAACCTACGGTGGTGGTGTTTTGTTCGAGTGTTCGACGTCGTAATGGGATGTACAGAATTAGAGTTCATACGACAAAACTGTGTGTACAGCGATATCGGAAGACGGTAATTACCTCCGACTAGAGGTATAGTAGAGTTGCGTATATCATAATGCTTCATCGAACGTCCGGCGAACAATGCAGGGGCTCTCGTTTGATCGCTAAAACATCCGTCCCGCCATCCGAAACATATAAATGTATATCTCACTGTCGGATTCAAATTCTACTACTTCTAGTACTGGACAATAATGGATTTTTTTCTGAATTTCGCGTAAATACGAGGAAATCGCTGTCACGTGAAACGTTCCGGATGTGTCCGATCGTTTCGCGGGGTGTGAGTTGTAAACTCGCGAACGCCTTGATCGGCTTCTGATACGACTGCCGAACGTATAACGTGGCCGGGGAGGATTCGAAGCGACGTGCGCGTGCAATCGTGCGCGGTCTAGTTTTCGTCGGGTTTAGGCGAAAAACGCGTGCACCGGTTACGTAAATGGACACTCGGGTTTTTATGAAATCGTTCGGTGCTCGTTTTAATTTTTTTTTTTTTTTCTCTGTTCTTTTGTCTCTTCTGAAACAGATTTGGAAGTACGATAAACGGGTTTCGTCGCGGGGCGCTCGTTAGCGAAAAGTCCGAGCGGGCGAGCGCGCGCGCGCTCGCGCAATCCGAACGACAGCCGAACGAAAACGTAAGAAAAAAAAAAAACTAAAAAATTGTGATCCGCATTCAGACGGTTGGGCGGACGGACGGGGGAGGGACGGAGAAAAAAAAAAAAAAAAAACCACGTTATATAATTGGAAGTTTCTTCCACGGTCGTACGCAGACCACGGCGAAGAGAAAATCGGAGCGACGAGTTTTTTTTTTTGCGTTCGTCTTCCCGTCTTCGTCGCCGTCGAACCCGGTGAGTTCAACGCGTGTACAGGTACGCTTTCAAAACGCGATAATTCCGGGCTACCGGGTTTACACGGATCGAATTTTTGCGCAGCTCCTCGTTAAAATTATTCTCGGCCGTCCGTCTGCAAGCGCGCGGTCGTCCGGCCAGACGGCAATTATGTACGTACGTACACTGCATTGCAGCACGTTGTACGCGGGGAATTTATTAACGTCCCAACCTCACCCGGACGCACGGTGATCGGTTCGGTTTTTCGATCTGGAGCGGTGGGGGAAAAAAAAAGAACAAAAAGATAAATTTTACATTAAACGCGCACGTTTCGTTGACGGACGACCACGTCCGGCCGTGTGTTTCAACACCGGATACGTTATTTTTATTTTTTTCTTATTTTTTTTTTTTCACCCGTATTGAACGAAAGTTCCACGACTGGTAATTATTCGCATAACCGCGAAAACACACACATGTGTGGCCAGAAAAATATTTTGGGGGCTTTGAAACGTTCAACTCTCACTCCTGATTAATTTATACGAGTCCTTAAAACATCGGTTAAAATATAAAATTTGTGAAAACTGTTTGATAATGACATGATATAAAATTATACCTATGTGCGAAGATTATTGTGCTTAGCGTACAAAAGAAGAGAAAAATTTCTGGGGGGGGGGGTTAATAAGTTAAAAACTAGTAAACCCCACCCCTGGCTGCATGTACGGAACAGGTGCTTACAACCGCTATTCTTGAAAATGAATTTCTTGATCTATTTGTTTGTGGTATTTCATTCGCATACCACGTACTTGCAGGTGATCAATCTACGGTTAAGTTCAGAACATACGTCTTTTAACATTTTTTACACAAATTTATACGTTATATTGTTATAACACTAGTACATTTACTCCTTCTGGTTCCAAATGTCCATATAGAACCGAATTCATGTCGTTTTCATAATAAATCCGAACGGTTTCATAATTACACAAGATGTTGCGTATAATCAAACCGAATTAATTATTTAGACCCGTCAATTACGTTTATTTCCATGGAAGTGTTTAGATGAACGTCGCTGGGACTGGAGCCATAGGTTTAGAACGGACCATTATTAAGGCCCAAAATTTAACGTATTATTGAGAACGTAACGCCATTCTTAATCGGCTCTTAATCAGTGTACCGATAACGGTGGCTGTAGGTAGAGTTATTGCACTGATTGAAAGGAGATTGACCGCTCGATTTATTTGGTATATATATAATCAGTGCCGTAAGCGGGTCCAAAACCGAAATCATTCGATTGAAATCGATTTAAAAGAAAAATAAACCGATTATCGTTTCAAAATTTCGGACAGCAGCGCAGGGGTACCTCATAAGGTGGTCGACCTAGCAATGATTTGACCCAACCGCGATTGCTGTTCGAACCGAATGTGTCTAACCTAAGGTTTTCTGTCCACAGACGGCGTGGCCAAAGTGATGAGCGTGGTGGACACGTCTCCTCCGGCGTGGTACACCTACTACCCACGACCCGTGGCCGCCGCAGCAATAGCGCATCATCCGCGCGATCCGTCCAGCATGCGCGAGAAGCACTCGAGCCCGCGCAAGATGGTAGCCGTTCCCGCCGTCGTGCCGTGCGTGTCGCCCAAGCAAGGCGCCGTGTACCCGACCGCCAACCATCAACACCACCATCAGCACCACCAGCAGCACCAGCAGCATCACCAGCAGCACCAGCAACAGCAGCAGAACGCTCACCAGCAGCGGAGGGACCGCGACGACCGCGACCGCCGCTCGGACGACGACCAGGGCGACGAGGACGACGACGATGACGACATGATGCCGTTTGACCTATCGCGAAACGGAGGCAGTTCGCCGTCGTCGTCGCCGCGGTCGCCGCTCCGGTCGCAGCGCGGCTCGCCGGCAGCATTCAAGCCGTACGACCGTCGCGTTCGAGACGACCAGCCGCTGGACCTGCGGGTGGACCATAAGAAGTCGCGGCGCGGCGACGAGCTGGAGGACGAGAACCAGAATCTGATCATCCGGACGCCGTCACCGGAGGACATCCAGGTGGACAGCCCGGGGCCGCCGTCGGTGCACTGCTACGACGCGGCCACCCAGCAGCCGCCGCCGCAGCATCGTGACCGGAACCACGACCGTAACGCTTCGGCTCACAGCCCATGCTCGTCCGACAAGGACGTGGTGGTGACCGACGATCGTCCACCGCCGACGCAGCTGCCGCCGCCGCTGCCACCATCGCAGGCCACGTCGCACCGCATCGGTCACCGCCAGCATCACAACAACGGTCATCATCATTATCACCAGCTGCGCGTGGACGCCATGGCCGCGGAAGAGGAACGGCACCACCGCATGGTCAACTATCCCGTGCTGTTCCCGCCACAACAGCTGCACCCCATGATGCTGGAGGCTATTTACAGGGCGGGCGCCGCCGAGAAGTCGCGCTTGACGCCCTCATTGGCCGGTTACCAGCCCGGTACCGGTGGTTACCACCGGTCCTCGCAGCACCACTACCCGTATATCAACCCGCCGCTGCTCAACGGGCACCACCATGTACCGCCGCCCACTTACGACGTGGTCAGGCCACCACCACCTCCGCCACCGCCGCAGCCACCGCAACCGCAGCCACAGCCGCAAGTGGCCAGGTCCCCACAGCAAAAGTCCTCGTCCTTCCAGGAGACTTCTGGCAAGCCCAAAGATAGGTAAGCACTATAACAAAATAATACGTTGAGATAATGTGGATTACGGTTTACGGTCGAACGCTGAACTTTAAACGTCCTTACGTGTTATTTTTCAACTAGTTCTAAACTATCTTTATGCAATCAAGCCTCGTCCAACGTTTTATTATGGATTTAGAAACTCGTATGCGTACCATTTGTTTTGTCTATGCCATGATATAAAAAAATAATCAATTTGAATTCAAACTAATATATGTTTTAGATTCACAATTTTTTTAATCCTCGTTATTCCATTCCGTAATTGGATTTTTGTAAGAACCGTTAGTTCAAATATCAGTGACAAAATGTTTTCTATATTTATATGAATACGAAATCCCGGGATGTTTGTTGAAAGTCAAACTATTCGAGTGTCAACATTCTTTTTTCGATTCGTGACTTTTTGGTTCAGGCTTGTGTGGACGTTTTGAAATTTGAACCGTTCGACTAGCCCTCGTATTACGTACGCAGCAGTGACATTGTTGGTGTTGACTTGTACTCATCCGACTAAAAGTAATGCCGCACAGAGTATAACAACGAAAAATTGAGTCTTGAAGTACATGTGCATGTGCGTGTGTTTGCGTTAGGACAAGAACCCGTTTGAAACGGTGCTAAGGAGATGCGTTCAGATATTTTAGAGAACCAGTCGACGGCGACGCAAAGGAAACGCAGTCGTGCGTGCGCGGTCGGCAATATTATGTAGGTGCGATAGAAAACTAGATCGCAAATAAGTATGCGTACTACGAGTGCAGAAATATAAATAGAAAAATGAAAAAAATAGGCACGCACTATCGATATCGATTTCAAACTGGTGTGAAGCGGCGAGAGGATAAACGGCATAGATGTTTATAATAACATGATGAAATGTACAAATATATGCGAGCGTTGCGCCCGATAAATGATTAAAAACCTTAAAACCCACTACTGATAAATCTATTAGTAGTGGGTTTTAAGAAAAATCCAAATTCTTAGGTTACCGTTAAAACTACCGACCAAAAAAAAAAAA